CACAAAAAATATTTTGACTATCCTCTTAAATTTCTAAAGTCATAATTTGTAGTTTGAACATGTAGTGAGTAATATAATAGTCAACTTAAAAAAGATTGACTAATTTCAACTATTCTGTATACTTTTCATAGTTGAAAGCGTGAGTTAATTTAAGCTAGACCACCATGGAAAACCTGGAATCCCTGGACGGCCTGTATACAAAAAATTAGGTTAAAATATGTTGAGGAACTGGAGTAACGACATCATTTATAATTAGGAAATTTTAAAGTTGAACCACAAAGAGTCATGCGTACATTGTGGTGTGTGTTACTAAAGTCGACAGATATAAGTATTATGTAGCACCAATCAAAAGTGAAATGCCTCTTCACAGAAGGTCGAGAAAATCAATAAGAAGAGAACGATAACAGAGAATGATTTATATAGAAACGAAGGAACAACAAAGTTCGAAACAATTGAATGAATTATATACTGTATGTTTCTCAGATTTTACTAATAGATTTTATAATTATACATTCAGATTTATTTGGTTATCCCCATTTGTATTCTCATTAACTACAATTTGATTTAGATAGTTGGTTTCAGGTACCATTCAAACAGAAACAAAATTGAACCAGATTAAGCTTTCTCAAGCTGTGAATAGACAATAAAGTTCAAACAACAGATAGAAGACTACAACACAATACCGAACCTCGTATTATAATTACTATTATTATTACTATTATTATTATCAAATTTATTCTTATTCTGTAACTTATTTTTCTCTTATAACTACCTATCCAGTGTTCATGATCATGAGAATTCAGTGTCGAATTTATGGTATGCTCAATGTTGTTGTTCATTTTTTCCTTTTATCCATACCTTATCATTGTATTCTATCGTTGTTGCATGAATAAATATTATGCTTTTCTTCTTTATACCTTATTATGTTAAAGCATGTTGTTATGAGCACTTTGTGTAATGTTTAATTTTACTTAATGGCAACTAACCCTCGCGACAGAGCATAGGCCGCCCACCAGCATTCTACATCCATCCCTGTCCTCAACAATCCTTTACACTTCTTTCCAGTTAACATTCATCTTTTTCATGCCTGCTTTTAATTCCCAGCACTATGTGTTCTTTGGTTTTCCTCTTTTCCGCTTCCCTCCCGGATTCCAAGTTAGGGCTTGCCTCATGAAGCAGTTTGGTGATTTCCTCAATGTATATCCGATCCACTTCTGACGTCTTTTTCTAATTTCAGTTTGTCCTCTTCCATAAAACACTGTTGCTGATAGTATCCGGCCAGTGAATGTTGAGTATTTTGCTTAGACAACTGTTTATCAATACTTGTACCATCTTGACGATAGTTATAGTAATTACATATTATTGATTAGGAGGAAATTAATAATTGGACAAGTTCCAAATAATGTACACATTGTGAATACTTCTCAAATCAAACAAAATAAATTTCATTAATTATATCATACTAAACATATATTCACTAGTAAACGATCCTGACAGCTTACTGAAAATATTGCATAACAGCTCTATTCTTAGGGAAATTAATATACAATAAAAATATAGAAATTGTAGTGCCACGATTCGTTAATCGTTCGTTTCGATAATCGATATAATTCTAATCTTAACGGCGCGTAAAATCAGAAGACTAAGGATAGCAGCAACTACAGTTTAGTGGAGATGGCTGGGAAGCCAACTCGAGAGCAAGGCGAAAGATGATGCGTATTGGAGATGGCTGGGAAGCCAAATCGATTTAAGCAAGCGTTAATCAACATTTATAGTCGGACAAAAATGAGTGACAGACGATGACCTACGATGAATAAGATACGAAGTGTACACATATATGCTCATATAAAAATATAGTCAAGGTTAATAAGCAAATGATTAACAAGATCAAAATATGACTCATAATGGATAGGCGAATTGACTCGGCCAGCAACTAGAATAAAGTATATGGGCTTAACATATAAACTGATACTACAAAATATCTATCATCAATTATAAATTCCATATATTGAATATTTGTTCATTACCCTAAAGATACTTAACAATATTCCTATAAATCAATGTTGATCTATTCAATAGATGATATGCTGAATAACTTAATTATAAAATACCATTCAAAAATTATTTAGTAGTATTTACATACTCAACTCTGAGATGCAGGTACATCCAGCTGACGAGTTTCAAATAGGACGAAATGCGCTTCCTGGATTCCATTGTTGACCACTATCCATTTTTGCTTATAGTGCTTGTGAATTTAGGCTACATTGAGGCAATACGCACAGTATGCATATATGTCAATAAAAGACTGACCAGTTGCAGTCCTAACACATCGATGGGAAGATTCAAACAAACAATACTAAGTGAATTTATACTTCACCAAATTGCATAAGCAAGTGACTATCAGGACTCAGTGGCCAAGTGGATAACGCGATGGCGTTTTAAGCGAACGGTACTGGGTTCGAGTCTTAGAGTGAACATCAACTCTGAGATGCAGGTATATCCAGCTGACTCGTACCAAATAGAAGGAAACGCACATCCTGTATTCCACTGCTAGCCACTGTCCATCTTTGCTTATGCACATATATTAATATGAGACTAATCAGTTGCAGTCTTGAAAATCAATGGGAAGATTCAAACAAATAATACTACCAAGTGAATTCATACTCTATTTGAATATTAGATATTTCATAGTATTTTTCTATGATCATCATGAAGTAAAAATAAAGATTGAATTATTCTCTTCTATTCTTCCTAATCATATACTACTTACAATCTAAGCCTATATTTCATTTACAATTTTATATATTTATAAGATATTTTGAGAAACAATTAAAATGAAACTCGTTTATCAAATTAAGTAGTAAACAAAAATTTGAATAAATTTTTTTAAGATCATTTTTTTGTTTGTTTTTTTTTTGAAAGAAAATTGGAGATTTATGGTTTGTTATTTTCACATTTCGATTGATGAATTATGTTAAAGTATCTGTTCTTAAGTGAAAAGTTTTAATCAACATTTCACTTATTCTTATAGAGTTGAGATCATGAGTCAATTGAAGCTAGACTACCATGGAAAACCTGGAAGCACTGGACGGCCGTTTCGTCCTATTATGGGACTCCTCAGCAGTGCGCGTCCACGAACCCACTCTCGCGGGATTCGAACCCAGGACCTACCAGTTTCGAGCCGAAGCCCTTAACCGATAGACCACTGAGCTGGCATCCAACGGTGTTAATTTCTAACTTCAACTGATTCACTTATTCATTGAATGGTACATAGGATAGTAGTAGTATAGGACATAGTATAAACTCCCTTCGAATTATTTATATACCGATTACATGATAATATGGTCTATTTGAGAATCTGAAAAGAAAATTTCCAACGTTGAGATTTTTCTCATTTTGTGGATCCTTCATGATAATATGGTCAATTTGAGAATCTGAAAAGAAAATTTCCAACGTTGAGATTTTTCTCATTTTGTGGATCCTTCAGTATAATTGAGAAATTGACAGAATTATAATTCTTTCTTTAGAGTGGAATATGTTTGTGGAACAAAGAAATATGTATACTTTGTCTACAGTTTATTCAAATATAACGAAATTATCATTTACATCTCATTGTTGATTACTAAAATCTAAAGTATAGTCCCGTAGTTTCAAAATGTATATACACTGACATACCTTAAATAGATACCAAGATATAATTACCACAATTTAGTAAGTGTTTTCATATTACCTGAATTGTTTTCATATGCCAAACTGAATTATCGTTTGAACAAAAATTATTTTAAGCAAAGATGGATAGTGGCTAACTGTGGAATACAGGATGTGCGTTTCCTTCTATTTGGTACGAGTCAGCTGGATATACCTGCATCTCAGAGTTGATGTTCACTCTAAGACTCGAACCCAGTACCGTTCGCTTAAAACGCCATCGCGTTATCCACTTGGCCACTGAGTCCTGATAGTCACTTGCTTATGCAATTTGGTGAAGTATAAATTCATTTAGTATTGTTTGTTTGAATCTTCCCATCGATGTGTTAGGACTGCAACTGATCAGTCTCTAATTGGCATATGTGCATACTGTGCGTACTGCCTCGATATAGCCTTAAATTTTTAGCGGTTATCAGTTTTCCTTGTTTCTATGCCATTGTACATGTTGTTTGTAATGTAACCTTGTCTTTGACAAAATACATTTTGTTTGCACGATAAAAATTTAAATGTTGTGATAAGGAATATAGTAAATTTTATTTCTGGTCTAATCTATCTTAATCATTGTTCATTTTACAATGGTTTCTCTTTTATAATAAACCTCTATGGGTTACTTTTGTTCCAATTAAGTCTATGGATTGAATAAATCAGGCTTTTATAAGTGAAATGTTATCGTTATTTAAGTGAAATTATAATTTATGGACGACCTTTGAGCGATGTTAAAGTTACCTTGAGGATATTCAACTACAAACGAGGACTAAATGAGGGTTATAAACCAGCATTATGATTCACAGTTGATCGTTAGGTAAAGAATTAGATTTAGTGTTTTTTTAACACGAACCAACATCAGCTATAATGCCAAAACGTTATTTAGCCAAATGCATGAATGCATTTCGCAACAAAATCCAAGTTCCGTTATTTTATATCTGATTGATTCATCCATAAATTTTAGTGTAGTTCTTATTTACAATTGTATATTTGTATTCATTTCAATGTTTCATCTCTGCATTTATCAAATTCACTACTTGTTGAAAGTAGAAGTTTCTAGGAGAAACTCAGCTACATTAGGTTCTTTAACTTTTGTAAATAATGCATGTAAAATATATTTATTTCACTTTTACCTCATTACTAATGGAATGCGCATCTCTGTTAGGTGTTTGTAATGTAATGCCTATAAGCACTGTTGTCATGTCGGTACAAGATATTATTTATTCATTATTTCACCTGTTAATATAAACAAATTTATTTGGTGATAGCAAATTTATTATCTTATCCCTTTATTTTCTTATTGTTTCCAGGCTTACATTCACGATTGTATCTTATCTAACTGGGGTATTTGTATTTGCTACAATTGTAGGTAAGTGATAATAATTATGATTCAAGTAAATAAAAATATTTAATGAGAAGAAAAGTCATCACATAACACAAATCTGACAGAACTCATATTATGAAGCATTCAAATAATGGCTACTTGGCGGTGAGTGATGAAGATGTTAAATAGGACATAATAAATAGCTAGAAATAATGATTTAGTGATCGCGATGGCATTGTTAGTACATGATCATAAATTTAGCAGGATTAGTATGATTGAAATTAATAGTAAAATTTTATTGGTAACACAATTCATACATCTACCATCCTTAATGAGCCGAAAGACAATCTGAGAAATTTGTTGTCGATCAGTGTGATACGAACGCATCATCTGTTTACAAGTAATGAAGCCAAATTATAATGCATCTATCACTGCGAATCAGACATAGATTGACAGAAAACGTCAAGCGGTCTTGGTTTTAGAGTTCATAAAGGTTCATATTTTTAAGCAAATTCTATGAAATTTACGCTTCATATAAAACAAGAACTCGTGATACACACATCATCACAATTACATCTGTTACGACCAACTTTGTTTTGAACGGTCAGAAGTACAATAATTGATCATTTTATAATATCTGTCATGTACTTAAGTTTAGTTAAAGTAACTTTAATTATTTGTTTTCAAGCTACATTAAATTAATAACACTGACGGTAATACTTTGATAATAGAAATCATGAGTCAACTGAATCTAGACCACAGTGGAAAACCTAAAAGTAGTGGACGGCCGTTTCGTCCTAATGTGGGACTCCTCAACAATGCGCATCCACGATCCCGACTTGCGAGATTCCAACCCAGAACCTATCAGTCTCGCGCAAGAGCGCTTAACCTCTAGACCGCTGAGTCGGCATCCAACTTCGTTAATGTCTAACGTCAACCAATCCATGGTGGTCTAGCATCAATCACGTGATGATTTCAACTATAAAACTACTAAAATCCACACAAAACCACCTTTTGATAATACTTTCATCATTCTAAAGTTATTACTTTTCAGGTTTTATTACGCAATATTGTTTTGAAATTGTATTTTATAATTAAATAGCAGACAATTATAGGTTCAAACTAAACAGCTAAGAAAATAATTCCATTTCTCATATTTATATTACTTAATTGCTTACTCCTGTAACCTATTGTGAAGGAATATAGGCCGCTCACCAGCATTCTTCATCGAACTCTATCTTGAACAATTCTTTCTAGTAGTTTCTATTTGCTATTCATCTTTTTAATATTTGTTTCTAAATCAGTTGAGACGATTTTAAAATTATAGAAACCTTAAGTACATTATGATAGAAATAAAAAAGCTTAGTCAATTAAAGCAGTATAGAGAACACTGAAAGCTGATTATAATCAGTATATAAAAAGAAATGAAAATATACATCAATCTGTACTTGAAGCATAATGAATGAAAGATGAAAATAGTTGGTTGTTTCTCTTTTCAAAAAACGACTTGTCACTATGACCTTCAAAATAAAAATTACCGAACAATGGTACTACATAACAATCTCTTTTAGTTATTACATACTTTCTTTCCTTTCTGGCTTGTTGAAATGTATGAAAAAAATGTTACTTATAATAATATTTAAGTAGACAAATATGAATAAATACTAAATTATTGTAGTTGTTAAAAGTACACCTAACAATACTTGAATGATAGATAACTCAATGTTATCTAATCTATTCCACATACTTAAGTAATTGGATAGACGATAATAAATACAATAGTTGAGATCATGAGTCATTTGAAGCTAGACCATCATGGAAAACCTGGAAGCACTGGATGGTCGTATTGTCTTATGCTCACTAGTGACTGGTTTCAAGAGGTATTTACTAGAGCTCTAGTGAGAGGCAGTGACCAGTGGAGTTCAACCAGGTCTGTTGTGAGATAGTAACTCATCGAAGAAAATAGTGGATGTGTCACTCAATTTCGTGGATTGGTTGAAATTAAGCATCAACACCGTTGGATGCCGGCTCGGCGGTTCTAAAGGTTAAGCGCTCTCGCGCGAGAATGATATGTCCTGGGTTCGAATCTCGCGGGTCGGGATCGTAGATGCCCACTGCTGAGGAGTTCCACAATCGGACGAAACGGCCGTCCAGTTCTTCCAGATTTTCCATGGTGATCTAGTTACAATTACTACAATATTACTATAATATCCACAAAAAACCTTTCTGATAATAGATAATAATAAATGTTTCATTCTGAACTAACCTAAGAGATATAAATACTTTTATGAATACAAACAATATGGGAATTACGGTAGAATGTTAACTCTTTAATATCGTTTATTTGATTTTTATTCCCATTCACCTCAAAATATCTAACACCTTTAATCATGATTATCCTTGACAAAGTATTCTTCTTAAACAACAAGTTACTTTTCATACAAATTAGGGAAAATGTTAAATTATATTATTTTAAATCCATATTAGAAGTTTATTCCGATCAACAGTGTCTTGTCATTGCATGATCTAGACTTACCAACAGCTAACTGTTTTAAGTCAATATGAACAGAGTGTGATATTAAATAACTCGGAAAAATCAACGAATGATTTAGTAAAATAGCTGTGTGGTTAACAAGTGACTCTACCTATAAGTTTTATACTATTTCGGACACGCTACTCCATTGTACATGATGTCTTGAAGAATGTTATAATAATCTCTGTTCTACTCTAACCTACTCCACCTAGATTTATTATTATTTACTTAAACACATACATATTGGTACAAAATGGCACCAGATACATATGCGCCACACAAAATAATGAGAATGGGAGAAGAAAGGGGGAAGATGCGTATACATAAGGAAGAAAAGAGGATGAAAAAAAAGAGAAGAGTAATGATGGGGGAAACTGAAATGTAAAACGCGAAGGACTTTCTCAGTTGAGAAAGTTATAATCACTCTTTATGAAGAAAGTAAAAGAAGGTTACAGCAGGCACGCCACCGACTTCTATTCTGAGCTATATCTGATGACGTCTCTAGCCACTGTGTTGCACCATCTCTAGGACCCCAGCCAGGGAGTGGTGAAGGACCAACAGAAGCTAGCCCTTTGCAGCTTTCTTTCATACCTAGATTTATAATATGAGATTTTACCACTACAACAGTAAGACTCTTACTAATTTGTAACATTGATTTGATTGTAAATGATTTAACATGGAGTAGTTACCCGATTTAATGTTTATTCAGCCCTCTAAGTGCTGATCATATTCCATCGAACAAGGAGAAGACTTTCTTTATCACTTATGAATTGATATAAACAATAATGTAGTCTTAAAAAAACTCATCGATCAGTTGACAACAAACAACAGTTCTACGTACATTTTTCAAAAGATTGAAGTTAAACAATCTTTCACATATTCTGAGAACACTCATATTTATCTAAACATCATATAGATAAATCATTCTTCTCAATGTACAATGTTTTCATGTCTATTAACTGTGTGCAAACACTATTGAATTTGTTCATTACAAGTTATGTGCATATTTACATTTGTTTGATAAGGTTTTGAAATCAATAACTCACAGGATAACTGCTAAATTACTAATAAAATACTAGTCGGCCAACATATAAGTCGAAAACGCAATACTGTTTCGAACATTATAAACATAGATGGATGACGGCTAGCGGTGGAATCAAGGACATGAATTCCATCCTATTTGAGACTCGTCAGATGGATGTACCTGTGGTGTTGTCTACTTATATCCATATAAGTAGTATATGGCGTGGGTCAGACATAGAATGTGTTTTGGCAGAAGACCGATCAGGAAAGAACTGAAATGAAGCGCAATCGTTTGGAAAATGCATGAGCAGTGGAATTAGAGAAGAAACAGTGAAGATTGAAACAATAGGTTGTTAATTTGCAAATTGACTGTTCATTGTATGGTTTTCAGAATTTACTGAGATAGTTTGTAATTTTGCTTAAATACATTCGATTGTCCCCAACTAGTGTTCTGTTCACAACATACCTACATCCTAGAGTTGTTGTTGATTCTGTGACTTAAAGCTAGTACCGTTCGCTCCAAATGCCATCGAATCATCCATTTGGCTACTAATTGTAGATAGCCACTAGATTATGCAATGGGGTGAATTCTAATTCCTTTTTGTATTGGCTGTTTGAATCTTTCCATTGATGATTAGGACTACAATTGATCATTCTCTTATTAACTTACGTGCATCCTGAGTAAATAGTCTAGATATCGTCCTAATTTAAAAGCATTATAAACAGAAATGGATAGTGGCTATCGGCGGGTAGTTGGTACATCCAGCTGACGAGTCCCAAATATGATGGAACGCGTGTCCTGGGTTCCACTGCTAACCACTATCTGTCTTTGCTTATTATGCTTGTAACTCATGGAAATATCTAGATCATCCGTACGGGATGCACATATGTCAGTAAGAGACTGATCTAATACAGTCCTTGATGTCATTGAGAAGATTCAAACAACCAATACAAAACTGAATCACAATACTGTTTTCCTATTTATATTACTTAAGACTCGAATCTGTAGATTACTGAGAATACTGTGAAACCAAGGTAATGGATATTCCGGAGGATTTTGAAAGTTCTTTTATTCAACCTTTCAGGAGTTATTAATGTCGTGTTTTAGGTTATTTAGTGCTGATCAAATTCTATTATCCAAATTTATAGCATGATTATGAGTAATTAGAACTTAATATTTTGGTGTCCTTCAACTAATGTAAGATGCCTTTGATTTAATCAAATTTTTTTCCAAAAATTACTTTTGATAATTTGAAGACGTTCGAATTTTTATTCTTTAACACATCAAATCAACGTATTATTTGTTGTGTTCCTTCTTTATATCATGTTGAATTATGAAGACGTTAGATAATCTAAACTTCCTTAACTCACAGTGTATCTCTTATAGTTTTCTTTTATAAAAAAGAGAAGACAAATTTCACAAAGATTTACGGTATTGATTTGTCAGACTGTCGTGTTTCTAAGTTTTATGTGTGTCGTATTCTATTAGTTGATGTATTGAATGTGATGGGATATGATTTTTTTCACTTCAGATTATCTCGAACTTCTAAGGTCTGATGCATTACAAGATTTTAAATATAGAGCAAGGAATGAGACAATATGTTATCAGCAAAGATGGATAGTGGCTAGCAGTGGAATCCAGGACGCGCGTTTCGTCCTATTTGAGGCGAGTCGGATGGATGCACCTGCATCTCAGAGTTGATATTCACTCTGGTACTCATACCCAGTACTGTTAGCTTCACTTAGCTACTGAGTCCTGACAGCCTGATCTGATTCAAGCAAACAGTACTAAGTGAATTAAGACAATATGGGTTATTGAGTAAGGTTTCTATAAGTCTAAGACACAATCAAATGTAAAAAACAATTGCACCGATGCAATTCCCGGTTTTTAATTGGTATAGTTATATCAGTTCTTATGGATAGTTTTACGCTAACCATTGCCAACCAAACCTATATCACTTAATTCAGCGTAATCTTTTTAAATATCAATTTCTTCTTAAGGTAATCTATACATTGGGAAGAAGGTAATTCTTATTATTGATATATTTTTGAAATAAATGAGTTCACAACAAAAATGACTACGTTAAAGTATTTAGGTCAACTGTTCTCTAAATAGATGAAATTGTACTTATAAAATGTATCCTGTAGACAAATTCTACTAAGCGAATTACAGGTTATATTTTAAATTATTTCAGTTATTAGTTTTCAAAACTGTAGAGAAAGACATAACCAATCACCAACTTCGACAATGGATAAAGGGTTGCAAAAGATCGTGGACTGGTTGAAGTTAGACATTGACACCGTTTAATGCCGGCTCAGTGGTCTAGAGGTTGAACAGGTACTGAATTCAAGTTCAGGATCACCAATGTGCACTGCTGAGGAGTCCCATACTAGGACGAGACAGCCGTCCAGTGCTTCCAGAATTTCAATGGTCGTCAAACTTAGATCGATTCGTGAATTCAACTGGGATATTATTTTACTCAATCGACATACAAAGTATTAGGAATTCTAGTTTCCTAGTCTACTTAATATCTCCTTAGTGAGTCAGTCGGTCAGTCAGTCACAACGTGGAACTTCGTACGCATCAGTCTGACTTGCCATACCACATTAGCACAGAGATGCAGTTGTCGATTCAAATCCCATAGTGGTAAAAGTAGTAAGAGTATAAGCATTATGTGAAAGATTAGGGTTTGAAGCTCTTATTCAAGGAGTATAATCCAATGAAACAAATTTGGAAAGAGAAAAAAGATAGAGACATGAAGAATTCAAAAGATTAGAATTTGGCAGAACACAAAGATTGGATGCACCTTCGCCTTTGCAAACGATTTTGAGCTATGTCATTCAAGGTCTCTAACCATTGATCGCTATTATCTCGCAAATCCCAACCAGGTAGTCTACACCTACTAGCATAGCTCAGTTCAATTGTCAGTGACTGTACATACAATTCAATCTAACGGATTAAAACCAAATCATTTACATGAACTCAATACTTAATATTAAATTTTAAGTCACGAAATTTCTAACAAAATTATCCAAAAGAAGCATGTAATTTTGTGTATTGTTGATTATTTTTATTTCTCAATTCCATGTAATGAATCAATACTGGTTAGAATATGATCCACCAAAAAAGAATAATAATAAGCTTTATACATGAAATAAGGTTCAATGAAATAAAATGAGATTAACACACTTTTGATGCATTAAAATGTCAGCATGTCTTGGGAAATGTAGCATTATTCTTTCTTTGATGTGAAGAAAGGTTTTTCCTGTGAGTTTTCCCTAACCTCATGTATGAGATCATGAATGTCTTCAAGTTTGTAACCTATAAGTTAATAATAAGGTTATGGATCATTTAACTTAAGAAACAAATACATTAGAGAAACCGAATTTGAATAGAATTAATCAATCTATATGGAATGAATATGAGGTAAGGTTAGGGCAATTTTATAATTCTTATAGTTTTTGTCACAAATTTTCAGTGGTTTTAATTTACAGTAGCTGTCTTACTAAGGTTGGTCATGTTATAAACTATAAAAGTTCAACAATCTCCATAGGCATTCTATACTGATAGTAATCATGACCTTAGTAAGATAGCTCAATGATATCGGATGTGAAAACAGTTATCAAAAAAAAACGATATTAGAAGATTGTTCTACTTGACTTAAATTAATTAAAGTTATACATATTAAACACCGTCTCACAGTTCAGTGGTCAAAAGTTAAAACAGCTATTTTCGTGGTATCAGGGTATCTGGTTGTGAATGAGCAGTGTTCAGGAGTCTCACATAAGGACGTAACAGTAGTTCACATATTACTAATTAATTTTGAATTACCAAGTTAGCTGATTTACTTCACTATTGAAGCATTATTACATCAATCTGTAAATTAATCTACATACATTCTAATGTAGTGAACGAAAACACGAGTGGGGACAATCGAATGCATTTTAGTACAAAATTACAAAATATGTCATTAAAATATTGGAACCATATAGTGAACAGTTATTTGCAAAATAATAATCAATTGTCTCAATTTGACTGTTTCTTATGCAACTATCCATCCGTAGTCTCCGATTATAATGGTTCATGAATTTTCATGCCGATTGCATGTTGTTGCCGTTCTTTCCTTATCGATCTTCTACTGAAATACATTCAATGCCCAACCATCAACATATACTACTTGTGTGGATATAAGTAACCCACATCACACTACAATACATAGTTGAAAGCGTGAGTCAATTGAAGCTAGACCATCATCAAAAACCTGGAAGCACTGGACGGCCGTTTCGTCCTACTATGCGACTCCTCAACAGTGCGCATCCATGATCCCGCACTTGCGAGATTCCAACCCAGGACCTACCAGTTTCGAGCCAGAGCCCTTAACCGCTAGAGCACTGAGCCAGTCGGGATCCAACGTTGTTATTGTCTAACTTCTAATGACCCACGAATTTGAGCGACCGTTCACCAATAAGGTGTCATGAGATATCAACTCACTGGAGACATTTGGTAAACGCTTTCTCAAAAACATCGTGGATTGGTTGAAGTTAGACATTAACACCGTTGGATGCCGACTAGCTCAGTGGTCTATCGGTTAATAGCTCTGGCATGAGACTGATAGGTCCTGAGTTCGAACTTCGAGAGTGCAGGATCGTGGATGCGCGCTGCTGAGGAGTCCCACAATAGGACTTAACGGCCGTCCAGTGCTTCCAGGTTTTCCATGGTGATCTAGCTTCAATTGGCTTATGCTTTCAACTATGAAAATACTAAATCTACACATATTTAATAAAAACCAATTTTCAATTTTATCTGTTCAATAATTCTAATTAGTTTCCTTTTTTGTTTTTGTATTTTCAGGTCAGGTAGGAAATATCATTACTACAAGAAATGCTGATCGTATTGAATTTGAGAAAATCTTGGTAAGTATTTTATATCAGATAAAAACAACTCCATACAATAATAACTATGCATACAAATATATATTATCAATTATACTACTTATAAAATACTTAAGTGATAGTAGTATTATATTAAAGTATAAAAACACAATATGAATATTTTAATTAATTCATCCTAATACTGAATTTCTCATTCAGAGTGATAGAAGTACTGAGCGAAATAGAAAAAGAAAACAAATAAATCAATAATGTCGGCCTTAGTTCAAGTGTCCAGGAATAGTTTTATTCTCGCAAATTTTGTAAGAAGAGAAACAACTTAGCTAAAATAAAAACACATTCATTGTAATTGATTTTCTTTTTTTCTGAAAAAAAAGGAAACATTTTTTTTGCCACAAATTGATTGTTTTACTCAGGATATTTGGATTGAAGTACTGTTATTTTTGTAAATTGTAAGTTCTTTATGCACTCAATAGAGAACATCGTTGTAGAAATATGATTCTTCAAGTGTAGTAAAGGTATCAAGTGATCTATGATTACATTTCTTCTATTCACATATCACTAAGGTGAATAAAATTAAACTTCATTTACAGGATGTAATTGTAGTGGTTGATATTCGATATTATCCCTAAACTTCGTATATTGTTCGTCCTGATCACCGTTACTCGATAACTTTCTAACGGTTTATAAATCAGAAGGTGAATACGAAGGTTTGATTGCGTTCATTATTGGACCACACACAGATATCCAAAATTACAGGCACGTTGAGCAAGCATGAAAGAGTGGTGCCGTAAAGCAGGCGAGTGAGCGTGAGAGCCGAATGAGCGTGCAGTTCAGTGAACAGGATTAAGATGTACATATATATACAAATGGAAATGCATAAATCGTCGAATCAATTAAACGATTAATAGTAAGGCTAGCAGAATGAATACATGCGTAGGCAGTAAGCAATGCTCAAGCGCACATAATAAAGGTACAATGGTATAGATAGATTGTTCTTCTACGAATGACTGTCCGTTAAATAAGTTAACAAAAAAGCTTAGCCAAATTAGATGTAAACAAGCTCAATTGTATGTGAGTTGCTATATCATCTATATTTAAGTCAATGATTATACCTTTCTAATGGTTATCAGGAATTAGTAGCTAAGTGAAAAATGTGATGGCGTTTGGAGTGAATGGTATTGAGTTTGAATCTCAGAGTGAATGTCAACTCTGAGATGCAGGTACACACACCTGATGAGTCCTAGATAAGACGAAACGCGCATCCTGGATTCCACTGCTAGCCAAGATTTCATCTTTTATTATAATACTTTCTAGTTTAGTTCAAAATTGTATTGTGACGTGAGAATACATGTGTAGGCTCTAGTATTTCAAAGTGATCAAAAGAACTTTTAAATTATAGTAAACATTATTACTGTAACTCTTTTACAACTAATTCTCTAGACTAGAAGTACTTTTGATAATAAATGTTTCAAACAAATAAGATCTGTTACGAAACTGATGAAACTGATATGAATGTGAACATTTATAGATCTAGTGGTATCAAAATCTTTTTTTTTATAATATCTGGCTAAATATGCACAAATAGTCATTTTAGACATTACTTTATACACCATATTCTGTGTCGTTTCATCATCGTTATGCTCAATGAAATTTGACCAATTATCTAACAATCTTCTGACTTTTTCTGTAATGTGATATTAATATGTCTGTAGAATAAATTATTTCGTGTTGTATTGATAACAGTAGCTGAAACATGGCATGATTTATAGTAATTAGTATTCTAGTCATATTTCCTACAATTGTCATATTTACCTAAAACAGTACTGAGTCAAACGAGAATATGTTTTGGAAGTAAGTAAATAAGTAAAAAATAAATTCTTTTACCAACCCTATACTGAGTTAGTTATCTATAAAGCCTAAAAGAAAATGTTTACTCCATAGTTAAGTTAATTGATGGCATACACGAACAAAAGTAAAGTAATCGTGAAATGTATGTTTATGTCTCTTCTTAACTAAGTCTACTACAGAAAATAATACAATGTTTTTTTTATTGTCTCAGTAATCCGGGCCAGTTGTTTTTTTTATAGAATAAATCAATGACCAGTTGTTATGCTTATTATCTGTAGTAGTAGTGTGGTGTGTACTACTGATGTCGACAGATATAAGTAGCATGTATGATCAATCGAAAGTGGAATGCTTCGCGGCAGAAGGTTGAGAACATCAAAGAGAAGAGAATGAGAACAGAGATTGATTTCTATAGAAACGATGAAACAACAAAGTTCAAGACAATTGATGAATATTTTGCAAATGCAATATTACTGTATATTTTAGATGGTGGAGAAGATTTGTAGCTCAGATGGATGATTTTGATGAAGTTTTATTCTCTGAGCTGGATGATTTAGTTATGGAGCTTTCATCATTCTTCTGAACGACATCATCAACACAAATTTCTGGTAGAAGTGAAGTGTTTGAATTTCTCCACATTTGGTTCACATCTTGTTCTGTACACCTCGACGGTGATTGCTTCTTGTTGACCTTAAATCTGTTATTGTTTATTTCTTTGTTTAGCTTGAATCTCCCACTGGTTTGATTTTCGTTCCTAAGTTTCTGCATAATTTTTCTGAATAGTTGAAAAATTGGATTAATTACAATGTGCTTGTTTATTGCTGATTGACCTGAGTGCCAAGCTTCTACAAATTTTCTAATGATTTTGAAATTGCTACTGTATATTTCTTAGATTTTTCTAAAAGATTCTGTTTGTCCTTAAATAAATTACATTGTCCTCATTTATGTTCTCGTTCAGTATAGTAGAAGTACTTTACATTTTTTGTGCTAGACCAACTTGTTCTCTCTCAGATGATGTTATTCAAAATCTAGCGTTGTTTCTCACATCTAAATGAATGGTTATATACTACTTTTTTTTGCTTAAAAACTTAAAAAAAACCTGTAGATTGTTTGACTAGCATTGAAATTTGATTTAAATCCCATTTTTTTCAACCTCTGATCCAATAATAATCATATAAGATTGAAATACTTATGAATTTTAGGCATTAGCATGAAATAAGGCAATAAATCTTGATTCCAAGTCTATAGTTTACTTTTTTTATGTTTGTAACTTTCGTTTGTTTTTGTTTTTTTTGTGTGTTTAGGACCATGCTAAAAGTTACATGCGGGCTAATTCAGTTGATAAAGATTTACAAAGTCGTATTCTAAGATGGTATGATTATGCATGGTCTAAGTGAGTAAACGAATTTCCTTAAATATATTTATATATATAATCTTGTATGACAGTTTATTATGTGACACTTTGAGGACGGTGAAATGATTACTTTCATAGTTGAAAGCGTGAGTCCATTGAAGCTAGACCGCCAGGGAAAACCCGAAAGCACTGGACAGCCGTTTCATCCTATTGTGAGACCCCTCAGCAGTGCGCATTCATGACCTCGCCTCGCGAGACTCGAGTTAGACATAAACATTAGGGGACGCCGGCTCAGTGGTCTACAGGTTAAGTGCTCTGGCGGGAGACTGGTAGGTCCTAAGTTCGACTAAATCTTCACAAATACCCCTTCTGATAAAAATGAATACTTCTTGTCTGAAACATCTAATCAATAATGAACCTTATTTTGAAAAGAATTAAGTTATAAATAAAAAAATCAAATTGTTTACCAAGATCATGCATATTCGATTCTTCATTTTGAGCTAAACTGAAGGATATTATTTAAAATATTGTGTTTATCATATATTCTTCGATTGTATATTCCGTCAGGCTATTTTTGAAAAAAACCCATATAAACAGCTGAACAGATATATTTCATGCAGTTAAATCCCTTATTTTAAAGATGAATTTTCTGGTTTCACTTGTCAACTCATCCCATCCTGCCTACGTTATGACATCTTCAGGATACCAACGAATAATTATGATTATTTCCGAAGTGATTGAGACACACTGTCACTAAGCCTTTATCATGTATATAGTGTTTTCCTGAACAACAAAGAAACCCTTGTAATAAAAACTACTATGCTCGGAGAAAAACACACTATAAACGTAAAAAAATTCTTCCTTTGTAAAACAAACACTGTTGGATGTTTCACCTTCTTGATGGGATTACTTACTTAGTTACGCCTGTTACTCCCAATGGAGTATAAGCCGTCGACCACCATTCTCCAACCCACTCTGTCCTGGGCCTTCTTTTCTAGTTCTATCCAGTTTTTGTTCATTCTTTTCATGTCTGTCTCCATTTCTCGGCGTAATGTGTTCTTTGGTCTTCCTCTTCTCCTTTGACCTTCACAATTCCGTATGAGGGCTTGCCTTTCGACGCAGTTGAGTGCTTTCCTCAATGTGTGTCCTATCCACTACTAACCAGAAAATTATTCTTTATGGGATATACTATGTAATTGGTACAATCACTGAACCATAAAACAATAATACTACAATTAATAAGTGTTAATAATAACAAGTAGATGTCAGATTAACTAATAACGGATATTGTATGTATGCATGTTATGGATTTCAATTAAATGCAAGTTTGTCATCAATATGATAATCTGATTAACAATTCATAAGGGAAAATTATGGTACAAAGTATCAAATAGATTTATTGTCATTTCGGTAAAGAGAAATGTTAACAATAGTTATGTTTTCTTGTCACATTGATTAGCTGTTTTGAAATAAGTCCCATTCGATTGAATATTCTAGATGACTCGTTTAGCCGACATTTAAGAAATTCGTATATGTATAGAAGGTTCAAAATTTATGAAATTAATAGAGTTGAGATCATGAGTTAATTGAAGCTAGACCACAATGGAAAACCTGAAAGCACTGGACGGCCGATTCGTCCTATTGTGGGACTCCTCAGCATTGCGCATACATGATCTCGCCTCGAGAGATTCGAACCCAGTGTCGGGATCGTGGATGTGCACTGCTGATGAGTCCCACAATAGAACGAATCGGCCGTCCAGTGCTTTCAGGTTTTCCATGGTGGTCTAGCTTCAACTAACTTATGATCTCAACACTATAAAAATACTAAAAATCTCCACCACACCACTTCTTATGAAATTAAATTTAATTAAAATAAATTCATGCTTTATTATGATAATAATATTTAAATGTTACTCAAACCAAAGAAAACACTTATGAAGAGTTTCATACAGACATTGACTACATAAATAGTTGAAAGTTGATCGAAACAGAAGGAATTCAGTGGGTTTTCTAGTTTTTCTGTCAGTGAAGCTATAGTGAAGCGTTGAAAAATTTGCAGTTAAAATTCTGGTTCACCATTTTCAAGAGTTTCTTTCCAAGTGTTTAAATAGTTTTCAAAGCTAATATAAGAAAATAATCACTGTTCTTTTTATAGTTGAATTCATGAGTTATTTGAAGCTAGATCACCATCGAAAACCTGGAAGCATTGAACGGCCGTTTCGTCCGGTTAAGGGAATTCTCAGTAATGCACATCCACGATCCTGCCTCGCTAGATTCGAACTCAGGACCTGTCAGTCTTGCGAGCGAGCGCTTAACCTCTAGACCACTGAGCTAGTCAGCACCCAACGGTGTTAATATCTAACTTTAACCAATCCACAAAATTGAGCAACCGTCCACGATTGTCTTCATTGAGTTACTATCTCATTTCTAAGGAGTCTCACAATAGGACAAAACGGACATCCAGTGCCTTCAGGTTTTCCGTGATCGTCTAGCTTTAATTAACTCATGAATTCAACTATAAAATTACCTCAACTGTTCTTTTTGTTTATTTTCATTTCTGTTCAATAACTGTTTTATACTTTAACCTAAATATTGTAAACATTTAGTTTCTTTTCAATGGACATTTGACAAAAGAATAATATTTATTTATTTATTTATTGTTTCATTTTTCTTTTAATGAAATGAATTAGAGGTTGCGGTGGTGGTGGTCAAGATATTAACACAATAGGTTTATTACCAGATAAATTGAAAACTGAATTAGCTCTTAATGTCAATTTGGAAACATTGAAAAAAGTAAAAAAAATTTCTATTCATTCAATAGTATACCAATTGTTATTTTGTGATTATTTAAGATACTACTTATTATTGTAAATATATGTATATATTTTTTTAATATTTCCTGGTAAATTCTACTAATTAATAGGATTACAATGATAAAACAGGAAGGTTAACCAATGTACCGAATAGGAACGTACTAGATGTAATTCTAATCTAGATTTAGCGATTCCATGAGAAATACTTACGGTGTAATTACGTACTTGACTGTAAAAGTTAAATATAATAAGAACTGCTTCATTTACGTTAATGTTTATTAGACTGTGAATTATTCATTGTTAGATGGTTGTTGGTAGTCAGTGAGAAGCTCGAAGATATGATCTGTTTTTGTTTATAGGCAATAGCAACCAAGATATATATAAAAGCTTCACGACCATAGTTGTCCCTTGTTGGATTTAAACCTACGTTATTTAGTGCCATATTAGATAGTGTCACTATATAGCTTAACGGATAGTGGCTGATTTCATGCTGCATTAAGATGTTAAATTTACTGTTCATTATGTCCTAGTTAATGATATCCTTTTATAGTCATCAGTGCTGATGGAATTCAATCTATTAATTCGTAATGTGACCACTAGTTTGAATGGCTGTACGCTGATTAATCAGTGTATATAACTCAGTCCTGTAAGAGGTTGATTACGTCCCGAATAACTAACAGGTAATGTTTTTAAAGATGACAGTGCATGAGGCAAAGTAGATAGGTCGTGCTAAAGAGTGTTAACTATTACAAAACTGGATCTACAACTTGTTGGTAATCACCCCAAGTAACAGAACATTAAAACATTTTTCATGCTAGATTGACTAACCCAAGTTAACGGCTACGACACGACTTCATCGACAGAATTTGTTTCAGAATAGAAACGGGGCTAGCGTAACATTAGTCACAAAATTATTCCTTAAAAATAAATGAATTCAGATTATCACACGAAAGAAAATCAATGTTGTCAAAATTTACTCCAGGAAATGTGTTTGATACTAGCCAAACTGAGACATAATCAAGCTATGTTAAACAATTTCATGATTTCATATCAATCCTCAATGTTCATATTGCCGAATCTAGACATGATCAATATACAGTAGAAATGTGCTCATAAAAATCATGATTTCGAACAGTTTTGACTATTTCCACAAACCTTAATTATTTATCAGGATTTCTGAGGTTTTCTGAGAATTCAGATGTCTGAATGTTTCATTTTAGGTATAAAAGATCATCTTAGTATGGATCAAAATAATCATTATATAAACTTTTGACATCTTTTTTTCTGTTATAGGTAACTATATTTCATGAATGTAGACCAGAATTTTTACATGATATTGTTTTGAAAATGCGTCCATTAGTTTTCACACCAGGTGATTTAATATGTCGAAAAGGTGAAATAGCACGTGAAATATTTATTATTGCTGATGGTGTACTTGAAGTGATAAGGTGAGTTAAGTAAATATATTCAAGTTTATTATTTAGCAGTTTAGAAGAGAAGTTTAGAATAATTAACTTCACTTTAATCTGTTTCGCAGTCTATTCCTTGTTTATAAATGTCCTTGTTTGAAACAAGACTTAGAATTTGAGTATGTGTAAACCATATCACACTAATTTTTGATGCTGTAACTATAAACACTTTCCTATCTGACATGACGTGAAATGCGAGAATTGCTATTGTCATCTAGTAACTACTGATTTATAAAATTAGTACTATTGTAGTGAACAGAACACTAGTTGGAGACAATCGAATGTATTTAAGCAAAGATTACAGACTATCTCAATAAATTCTGATTACCAAACAATGAACAGTCAATTTGCAAATTAACAACCAATTGTTTCAATCTTCACTGTTTCTTCTCTAATTCCATTGCTCATGCATTTTCCAGACGATTGCGCTTCATTCCAGTTCTTTCGTCATCGGTCTTCTGCCAAAATACATTCTATGTCTGACCCACACCATATACTAGTTATATGGATTTAAGTAGACCACACCACACTCGTCCCCCCTTTAAAGCATTCGACCATGCGGTGGTTCTGCTCGCCACGCCACTATCTTCTTTCACTGCAGTCTGTGCCAAACTCTCCGTCAGAATGTCGAGTCTGCGGCGCGCTGACCTCCATAGCTCCGTCGACCTGCCGGGGCACCAACATCCGCATCCACCCGGCACCTGGGACGTTCAACACCCGTACTCCACCGGCCTGCTGAGCCATCTACATCCGATGTCCGCCCAGCAGCCGCACGTCCCACTGCTCCTCTCCGTCGACAGCACCCGCTACAGCCAACGCCGCCCCGCCAGAACACTCCACTCGACGCCAACTCTCCGCACCGGACTGCCCCAACTAACACTTCAACTCCAGACCCGCAGCGGCGTCCGCAGAACAGCACCCTTCCTCCTCCCGGTTGGCAGCGACACCAAATGTAGTGAACAGAACACTAGTTGGGGACAATCGAATGTATTTAAGCAAAGATTACAGACTATCTCAATAAATTCTGATTACCAAACAATGAACAGTCAATTTGCAAATTAACAACCAATTGTTTCAATCTTCACTGTTTCTTCTCTAATTCCATTGCTCATGCATTTTCCAGACGATTGCGCTTCATTCCAGTTCTTTCGTCATCGGTCTTCTGCCAAAATACATTCTATGTCTGACCCACACCATATACTACTTATATGGATATAAGTAGACCACACCACACTAGCACCAAATTTTTGTGTGTACTTTTTGATGGAGTATATAATTATGATTCAACTGGAATAGCTTTTACACTTCCGTTAAAGCGTACTAGTAAGTATTATGCACAAGATAAAGGTATTACATTGACAAAAGAAATCGATGAGTTCATAAACATTTATTCGTTTAACAGGATACATAACTAAACCTGTTACAGTCGGTCACCTACTGAGTTACAAATTTGTTACATTTTCAGTAATTAATCACTATGAGATAAGCCGTATTGTTTTTATTTGGTAACTTATTATTGATGTATGGATTCTTGTATTTGACTTTCAGTCACATTCTAAATACGATGATTAGTAGTACTAACCATTAACATAAACCAACGTAGGTTGAGGAGAATCCAAACCTGTGACTCAGTGCTTGGAGAATGACCTCTATATCCACCAAGCCACCTCCCTCCATTTAATAAAAATTATACAACTAAAATAATGAATTTTAGTCTCTACGTATATGAGGTGCCAAATCAATCCATTCAAGTATGAATCCATCTTCAATGTGAACATAATTTTTTATTCTGTAAATGAAATCTTTCCTTTGAAATATATGACAGAATTAGATTATATAACTGAAATCATTAGTCAATTGAAGCTAGATCACCATGGAAAACCTGGAAGCACTGGATTGCCATTTCGTCCTATTGTGAGGCTTCTCAGAAGTGAGCATCCACGATCCCACCTCGCGAGATACGAACCCAGGACCTATTAGTGTCTCACGTGAGTGCTTAACCACTAGACCATTGGTGGTCTAGCTTCAATTGACTCATGAATTTAACTATATAAAATTACTAAATTCTCCACAAAACCCTTTTTTGAGAATTAGATTAATAAAATTTAAATTTTTTGCTTAATAATATTTTTAAAGTCTTATTATTGTTATGATTTTATTAGTGATTCTAACGAAGTTCTGTCCAAAATGAGCGCTGGTGACTTCTTTGGTGAAATCGGAGTACTTAATGTGGATGGAGTGAATAAGTAAGTTAATTATTAATGATTTAAAAAATTGAAATTAAATTTCATAATGCAACTGTAAGACGTTATAGCAAGCATTTGATACGATAATCGTTATTTGTTTTCATTGCGCTCACCACAGTGTAATTTAACGACACTAGTTAACTGTTCTTATTGTTTCAATTCATTAAATAATCATTGACGTGATCTACTCAGATACTGCCTATTTGAACGTTCACTTTAAAATACTGTGAGTAAAATCTTTATGAATGATGGTATTCATATGTAGTTTGGATTTATTTTATGCAATTCAATAAATCCATATTTGTCTATTATATTCTACTGCTCTTAATTAGACCGACAATTATTTGTCCGTTGGTAGTTGTTGGATTGAAAAATCACATTGTACCTAGCCATAAGGAACCTGTTTTTGTATACGTCCATTTAAAATGTTATAAACTGTTAACAACAATATCGGTAAACACATCGAAACCGTTTCTTAATAAACTTGTACAACATGGTCTTCGTGATGTATTGCATTTTTGTGATGAGGCTTAAATGCAAATTTTATGGAATAAAAGGTTAGTCTTTCGATGTGATACCATCAGTCAGAGATGTCTCAATCATAGAGACTGTAGAATAAATATGTGAACGAATCAAAAAAATGGATATAGAAACTACAGATCCAATTAATAACATAAAAGTGATACTTTTGAATTGTACCAAGAGGGTGAATCTCAAGTTCAGCGGCAGAACCCGTACATAAATGGATGAAGTTGAAATGGGTTCACCATTAGGAATGAAATTACCTGACGTATTGCTAACGAAGCTAGAAGATACTCTACTTAAGGAGTTTATTCACAAGTTCACTTTTAACCATCGATGTATAGAGGACACGTTTGTTCTTTGTAAATGCTGTACATTACAATTAGAAGTTCTTATTCAAGTTAGTGAAGTACAATCAATCACTAAGTTTAGATAGTGCAATGAGAAGACGAAGGTTATCAGAATTATGTGATATATATGGGCAATACTTTACGAACGATCTGATCACACATATACTTGTTAAAATATTTTTATGTGTAGCCTAAAGGGTCAACTAAACAGGTTAAAGGTAATCAGTAACAAAGACAATTAAAGTACACAAAAACAACGTGATAACCATACTGGATAATAAATTAGTATTACCGGGATAAGTTAAAGGTAAGAACAAATTGTTTTTGAACACATAAAAAGGGTTTCAGTTTCCTTTCATTCAAGGTTTTGATATATGACCTTGAAGGCTTTTGTACAACACTACAAATGCTGAGTTTATGTCGACCAAATGTTTTACAATAGAGAAAGATATCTGTCTCTCCTGTGATCTTATTTAGCCATTGGAATTCATTTGTTTCTGTAGCCATTCGGGTATGTGTTCCGTCACCCTTACTTTTATATCACGATTGCTCCTCCCTATGTGTGTGTTTCTGCACTTACATGTGAGTTGATAGACACAATAGGATGTTAAAATCATGAGTCAATTAAAGCTAGACCACCATGGAAAACATGGATCACTGCGCGGCCGTTTCGTCCTATTATGGGACACCTCAGCAGTGCGCATCCACGATCCTGCACTCGCGAGACTCGAACCCAGGACCTACCAGTCTTGCTTGTCAACTTTTAACCGCTAGACGATTGAGCTAATCGGCATTCAACGGTGTTCATGTCTAACTTCAACTAATACACGCTCGCGCGCGAGACTGATAGATCCTAGTGCTTCCAGATTTTTATTGGTAGTCTAACATTCATCCATTCATGATATCCATTGAATTTTACAAAACATATGACGGATTCAGGTCAGCATTCCACAATAGTTATTTCAATATTGAGAGTTTTATTTTGTATTGGAAATAGTCTTGAATTTACATGCTATAATTTTAAACGATGTATTTACCTTGAACCCGGCTACTTTAATATTACTAATTTGGGACAAACAATCGTAGAACCTGAAGCAAATTTAATTGAAAAAGATCTTTATTCATATATGTCAGTTTGATGGATTAAGGGAGAGGGTAAATCATTTAATAGTCTATATAAATGAATGATAAATATATTGTGGGAGCACTTTATGCGTACGGTTAACATATAGCTGATTAGTATATTACGAATTTATATTAATAATCTGAACATAACACTAGTCGAATATCGATCATCTTTAAAATTATTTTAAGGAGTAAATCATTCCTAGTTTAGCATAAAATGGTAACTACAATTGTATGATAAATGTACTAGCTTATAGAGGAAAAAAAAGAGATTACATGGTAAAGTTTAGAATATCGAAAGAAAGTCGTACTATAATCGAGAAGTTAGAAGAATTAAAGGTCGAACATATTTCATTCGCATGCACAACTTGGTCTTGAATCGATAGATTTCTGATGTCTTAGCAATACACAAGTTGTTGAAAGAATTTCTCTTTGATCCACTTCTTTTAAATGTGGAATTTACTCTAAAGGACTATTCCATTCGAGAAATCTGCCCAAAAATGATGAACTGGTGATAAAGTTGTATTCCCCTCTTAAATGTTATGCCAAGTAATGTTTAAAAAGTGTTAGCTTAGTGTTGATCAATATAGCCTGCCTTACAAAACCAAATGAACTTATTGATGTAGCTCGCAATGAAAATTTATCTTTCACTCATCCATAAATGGGATACTAAGTTGAGAATACAATATAATGTTTAGTTGAGTAGTAATCTATCCTTAGGGATTTCGAAATTCATTAATTCAAGATTTCTGTATTTACCAATTAACTAAAACTACTAAAGTAAATGGTTTTATCGGCAAAAATATTTTTTTTCTTCCCTTAATTTTTTTTTTGAATTTCATTTCGTTAAACGAAAAAAATGACACAGTGTTTTATGTTTAAATAATAAAACCTTAAAGCAAAAACTATTCACACTATATTTACCTGGTCGATATTTTCGGAACCTTATTTTTCCGATATTACCACTTTTTTTTTTTAAAATGTAAACATACATAGTTAAAATTGAAAATTCTATTCCCCAGTTACAGAACTGAGTTTAAATCATTTATTTATCTTTGTTATAATGTTTTTATTTTCTTAGGTAATCATTAAACAGTCCCATAAGTTTAACTATTTTCATTTCATAAACGTAGAAATAAAAAGATATTTGATATAAAAATATATGATAAGTGAACATCAACTTTGAGATACAGATACATCCAGATGACGAGTCCCAAATAGGACGAAACGCGCGTCAAACTGGATTCCATTGTTAGCCACTATTCATCTTTGCTTATAATACTTGTGAATTAAGGCTATATCGAGGCAATACGCATAGGATGCACATATGCCAATAAGAAATTGAATAATTGTAGTGCTAAACATCAATGGAAAGAGTCAAGCAAACAATACTAAGTGAATTTAAATGATAACTATCTTATTTTTATGTGATTAACTGAAATTAACTACAAATATAAGATACTAAGTGATGAATCGCATCAAATTTTAAGTCGAATGTATGAACAAGTCCTAAAGAACACATAGTATCACAACTATACAATTCATTATTATTCAAATTTCGAAAGTGTAATTTGTTCTAAGTGGGATTTAGTGAACATCAATAATTATTGATGTTATTTTACTACGTGTTTAACTTCAAGTGGACGGTCGTCCCGTTTTAGTTCGGGATTCCTATATCCACAATCCCGCACACGGCACTCGATTACAGGACCTTCAGTCTCGAGCGCAAACACCTAAACTTTAGACCATTGAACTGGCATCGAATGATGTTAACGTGTAACTTCAATCGATTCATGATTATACACAACCCTTCATCTATTGTCAGTTGTTTAGAAGTTAAGAGTTCGTCCATGAGACCAAAGGTCCTGGGTTCGAGTCCGACAAGCGAGTTTGTGGATGCACACGATTGAGGAGTCTCACACTAGGTCGAAACGACCCTCCAGTACTTTCAAGCTTTCAGTGGTAGTCTAGTTTATATCGATTCATGAATTCAATTGTGAAAATACAACTTCATATAGAATTAATTAGCATTTAATACTTTTGTATTTAATTAAATAAAAAAGGAGGTAAGTCGGATGTGCTCAAGTATTAATTAGACCAAGGATGAAAACTAAGAAAGAAAACTTACAAAAACGATTTCATTTTATTTGGCTTTCAAATCCGGTATTACCATTTAAGCCAAGAATATGTCCTACCAATGTAACAATTATTAATAATTACATGATTTGTGTTTTTTATAATTTTGCCAATAAAACTAAACGGCCGTCCAGTCCTTTCACGTTTTCCATCGTGGTCTAGCTTCAATTGGCTAATGATCTCAATTACATAAAATTACTAAAATATCTACAAAACCCCCTTCTGATAAATTCAATCATTATGTCCTACATTATGAACTTATTAAATACATACTTCATTATATTTCAAAGTTGAAATCATGAGTCAGTTGAAGCTAGACCACGATGGAAAACGTGAAAGAACTGAACGGCCGTTTAGTTTTATTGGCAAAATAATAAAAAACACAAATCATGTAATTATTAATAATTTTTACATTAGTAGGACATATTGGATGCCGGCTCAGTGGTCTATCGGTTAAGGGCTCTGGCTCGTAACTGGTAGGTCCTGGGCTCGAATCTAGCGAGTGCGGGATCGTGGGTGCTCACTGCTGAGGAGTCCCATAATAGGACGAAACGGCCGTCCAATGCTTCCATGTTTTCCATGGTGGTCTAGCTTCAATTGACTCATAATTTCAACTTTGAAATATACTGAAATCTCCACAAATCCCCTTCTGAACATACTTCATTATTTCCAACGTTTCAAAAATTGCTCAATCGAATTTACGAATAAATTATGATTTATTCAAGTTGATTTTAAATGTTAAAGACTGGAACACAGTCTATAAATTACAAAATCCTGCACATTATATAATTATAAGTTCAATTCATTTCTATCTGAAGAATTAAATTTATGATGAAAAACTTTTTTTTTTTAAATCTTTCAACATAAGTGTTGTTAATTTTCACTTAGTAACATATAAATGAAATTTCATAGTTAAACTATCAAATATATAAAAAAAGTAAAATTTAACTTGCTATACTAAATATCAACACGTAGGTATCATTACCAAGTCTTGATTTGATAATTTTGAATCAATTGAACATTCGGTAGATTGTTATAAATAAATTAATATATTTATAATATCCCAATGAGTAGAAAGATTAGATTTTCTGATGTTTCGTGACTCAGTGTAAGCCAATTCTTCTGAGAATAAATAACTAAATTAACATTAATCCAAGTTTAGTTAGTACAATGGAGCAACATGAATATTAGGTACGATTAATCTAAAAATAGGTCTGAATAAATCAATAACATGTCATTTCGGTCAATGTGACACATAAGTGACATGTATGTAAATTTGTTACCCTTATAATGACATGGGATAGAGTTTAATTTGTAAGGTAATGGTATGAATATTCAGTCAATCAGTCACAACATAGAACTTTGCACGTACGTACATCAGTTCGAGTTACCATACCACATTAGCACAAAGATACACTTGTCGATTCAAATCCCATAGTGGTAGAAGTAGTAAGAATATAAGCATTATGTGAAACATTAGGGTTTTAAGATATCATTCAAGGAGTATAATATGGTGAAATAAATTTAGAAAGAGAAAAAGGATAGGGACATGAAGAATTCAGAAGGTAAGAATTATGTAAAACACAAAGAGTGGATGCACCTTCGCCATTGCAAACGATTTTGAGCCATGTCATTCAAGGTCTCTAACCATTGGTTGCCATCATCTCGCGAATCCCAACTAGGTAGTTTACACCTACCAACATGGCTCAGTCCACTTGTCAGTGACTTCATGGATTTGTGCCACGTTTTGGTCTGGCCGCCCCTAGCTTTCTTCCAACGTACTCCTACACCATGAAACATTGTACGTCGGGGCAGTCAGTGATTGGGCATATGTAACAGTGTCCCAGCCAACTCAATTGATAAAGTTTCACTACCTCATCAATCGATTTGTCATCCTTACCTAGTACCCTTTTCCTAACAACTGCATTATTTACCCGGTGGTCCCAAGATATACGGGCAATGCTTCGAAGACATCTATGATCGAATACTAGTAGCCTACGAATATCCTCTACTCTTATCGGCCATGTTTCACTGCCATAAAGTAGAACGGAACGAACTGCTGCACAATAAATCCGTCCTTTGATTGCTAGACAGATATCTCGCCTACTCCATAAATGACGCAAGTTGGTGAAAGCTAGACGAGCCTTCTGTATCCGTGCTGAGATTTCGTCACACACTAGATCATAAGGGCTAATGAGACTCCCAAGATAAGTGAATCAGTCAACACGCTCAACTACTTCATTAGTTCAAGTGTCGATGCAACCCAATTCTGAAGTAACATTTTGCACTTCGAGGGAGAAAATCGCATCCCGAACATGCCTACATATTTGCTTATGGGATTGCTGCTTTTAGTCTTACCGCTCTTCAGCCGACCTGTCTAGCATGGTAGGACCTTGAGCTGGAACGATTGTTCCAGCCAGCATAGCTCGATTGGTTTGTCACGATAGGCAAGCCCGACCACCACGTCAAGGTAGCAGCAACGGTCGGTATGAATATTAAATAATATCAGACTAGGTGACTACGATAGATAGCCCAAGTAGGAGGTATAGTAAGGCCTTCCGTTCTATTGAGAGCAGTAGGATTAAGCATTATATGAAAAGCTTCAGCTACTCTCTTTCCTTTGTAATTGGAAAGGCCTTTTCGTAGTATTTTGATATTTTTGAAATCAATTTAATCATTGTTGAAAATAACATGAACTGCTATTACCAATATAATTTGAAGTCTATCCAGTTCTACAGGATTATTAGGAGGTTTCTTTGAGTACCTAATATGTTCTTTGGCACGAGTCAAGATTTCACGAGATGACTCTCCAATATAGAAGTCATCACAATCAACACAGCCTATTTATACATATCAATACATTTGTTTAATTCTATTTTTATTTTCGTTAGACGAACAGCTGATGTACGTGCTGTTGGTTATGCTGAATTATTTGTTTTATCTCGAGAAGATATTTTAAAAGCATTGAAAGATCATCCAGATGCTGAGGTATGAGTGAGTAAAACTAACATCATTTTTACTGATTGATACACATAAATGTAGTGATTTGTGTGTGTGAGTTGTCAGTTATATATGATTTTCTTTGTATGGTTATCAACTGTATATTGTTGTGGTTAATAAAACTATTGAAACAAGTTTTAAAAGTCCCATAGTTATATATGTATATTATAGTGACACGGCGGCCTGTTTGAAAAACATCTGGGCTACCTGTTCCTGACATCTAGATATTTCAACAACTTGTCTAATTTCCTTTGTTTTAATACATCATTATGGATATTAATAGCATAATCCATTCAGATGCCTTTCTAAATGGTGTACAAACTATCATTGTACAGATTACAAAGACCCAATTGAAGATATCGTGGTACCTGGCAGTAGGCAGCGAAAAGAATGTACGTTATTTAGATTTCCATTGACTGAATTGCTAATTTCATACTGGCGATCACTCAATATTCGTTGTCAGGATCGGTCAAGAATTAAGAAACGGAAACTTGTTGAAATATACTGTGCTGAGAATTCTATACCGTGCTAAAAATATGATAATGAGTAAAGCTAATATATTCGATTGTCCCCCAATGATAATAACTGATTTTTCTAAAAATATAACAAAATAGTTACTCAGACCCAACAAACATAACTACAAGTAATTTCTCCTTCTATCTCAAAATGATGGCGGAATATGTTTACCTCTAAATACTGAAAGTAGACAATGTGTTTAAATTTAAACCTGATTGGTGGAATATTCATTTAATGTTTATTGTTTGCAAGATCAGTTGATTATTCTCACTGACATTTTACCAAAACAGCTCAACTTCATATAAAGAACCACTTTTACATAGTAGTTGGCTTTTCACTGACTAGATGTGATATTATCAACAAAAAAAACAGATTTGATAGAAATATCTTGAACGTATCATTTAGATAACAGTTCTATGTCATTTGTATGAAGACAACATAAAGTCAATTATATGTAATGCAAGACATGGCACATGTATTTAAGTTCAAGTTTCTACACTACATTACCTTAAGGAGATTAAATTACTAAGACAAATCTCAGAAACATAGACACTGTAACTGTATCAGTAGTAGTAGTAGTAGTAATAGTAGTAGTAGTAGTAGTAATAGTAGTAGTAGTAGTAGTAATAGTAGTAGTAGTAGTAGTTAAGAAGCTTAGACGTGGAATGGTTCAAAGAAAAGGTATGCAATTCGTAAAATAAAAAAATCTAATAGAATTTCTTAACAACAGACACCAAACCTATAATTTACACACAGCAGATAAAGCGTATAAATGCTTTCGACTTTAGCACCCGAGATATTTTTCCTGAGTCTTAAATGTAGTTGAGAAACTCACTAACTTTTAAAACCTCATAAACTTTAGATACCTGTAACTATATTCCATATGGTATAACTCATATTTATACCAAACGTGTCCTAATAAATCCTATGCTATCTAAATTATTAACATTCTACCTATAAAATGATAATGGTTGCCTTTGTATTGACGGCATCTACTTTCCATTTCACTGAATAAAATATTACGATTGTCATGGATTGGGAATTTGAAACTTGCCTTTATCAATAAACTTACAAGAAGTAGTTCAGACTGTTTACAAAATCATATTTCATTGTTTCGAAGGTTCCAACATATGCTCTCTAGTGACTGGCTCAGAGGTATTTCCTGGAGTTCTTGCGACAAACAGTGACTAGTAGAGTTCAACCAGGTCTGTTGTGAGATAGTAGCTAACTGAAGACAATGTTAGATGTGTCGCCCAATTTCGTGAATCGGTTAAAGTTAGACATTAACACCATTCGATGCTGACTCATTGATCTAGAGTTTAAGCGTTCTCACGCGAGATCGATAGGTCCTGGGCTAGAGTCTCGCTAGGCAGGATCATGGATGCGCAGTGCTGAGGAGTCCTACAATTAGTCAACAAACATTCATCTCAGTAATATTCAGTACAATATTTCATTGTTGTACTTACATATAATATACAACTAAAAGGTATATGTAATGAAAGAATAAAGAAGAACAATTCTGAAGAACCTTTATGATGGGAGATACATTTTAGACTATAATAACCTGAGCCTATGTAATAATAAGAAGAAGAATGAAATAGTAATTTAGGTGACTATGAACTAGTTTCTACTTAAGTAGAATTAAAGAAAATGCGTTTACATATATATTTTATTAGTTAGATTTCTCCACAATAAATTATCATTCTACATACCTAAGTAAAAATAGTTTTTTTTATCTCATTCTATACTCTATAGGCAGTAATAAGAAAACATGCAACAAGACGTCTCTGTGAAACACGTGTACGTCAACAAGCACATCTGCATGGAAAAAGGTCTCCTATCTTATCTAATAATTTATGTAAATCATTCATTTTACCTGGTAATTAAAAATTTTACATTAAAACTCTAGTCTAAATTTAAAAAAGGTGCACATGAAAATACTTCAATTAAATTAGAAGTACCATCATCTGGTATAACAAGAAATTCGTCAATGTTACTTAATAATGAAAACGATATACAAAGTCAACAAACAACAATTAGTTCTGGTATAAATACACAATGGAAATCAAAGAATTTTAGTGGAAGGTGAGTAGTCCTTTCAATCTCAATCTAATTCTACCTACGTAGTTTGGTTTTTGTTTTGGATTTTACTTTGTTTATGATCAGAGTTTCACTATGTGTAGGGAATCTTTTTACCTTCTTCGATTACATTTATAAGACTGAAGTAATAGCTGAAAGGCAATCACTGAAATCTTTAAGGCTTTATGTTGCAGTAAAATGATTTAAAGCATTTCACACTAAACTTATCGTCCATTTTATACGTTTAAAAAAAGTTTTATAAGTAACACCTTGCGATGCAATCCGTTTGCTCAAAAAAATTTTTTATACCTTGTGTTTATAATACCAAACCTCATAGTTACTGAATCACTTACTTTCTTATCTACTCCTGTTTCCTATCGTGGAGGATCACAAGCCACCCAGCGCCATTCTCTATAGACTCTTGTCCTATGTAATGCTTTCCAGTTCGCGGTTCCAATTCCTGATGCAATATGTTCCTCGCGACTAGCACTATCGTACATCTTATAAACATTCCTGTATTCTTAAACAGATTCTTTTAAGAACATTCATCAGTTTATTTGATGCTGGCTTCAAATAAAACAAGGTTTTCATCTACCGAAAACGGTTCTCTCTAATAAGGGCACAAGTAAAATGGTGACTATCAAAATGATGCATATTAATAAAGGTCATCAATGGGAAAAGGAATAACCTTTTGAACGGTGTGAAATATGTTCATTTTGCTCTCTGTCTCTTTGCTTCACAATTAATCAACAACGTACTTTTCTGAACGCATAGAGAAAAGTCTCCTTTCAACAAATACTGATATATATTGTAATTTCTCGGCTTTGCTAACAAGTTCTTATTGTGATTACCCTTATCCCGTTATCTTCTACTTCTATTATGAACAGGTAGGATATAATTTATTGGAAGTGTTATATTCCAGGTTTCCGTTGAATAACATTTAATCTATCTGTAATACCTAGAACTTCAGATATCCTTCCAAATTTAATTAAATGTTTCTAAACTTTAATTATATGTTTCCAATATTTAATGCGCCAAAAGTTGGTGAACTTCTAATTAGTTAGTTTATCAACGAGAATCTAAAATTTGAACGACTTTTCGTTTGACCAACCGGGATATATGTCACCTTTATCGCTAATTACCATTGCAATTAAGAGAAAAGAGTACGTTCCATACATGAATCATAAATCTTAAATTTATGATCAAAGGATTTTATACCTTCTACTCTTGTCATCTGAACGTCAATAGACTGATCAATTTTATACTGGTATATGGGAGTGTTTTTTTTTCATCGGTTTACCTAATTCTATTAATATTTCTTGTCATATGGCAATTTTCAATTTCCATCTTTCCCATTAATTAATTTTTTTTTAAAAACAAACAGGAATGATACAAGTCAACTTGTAGAAACGTTAGATCAATTTGCAGACCGATGGGAAACAATACTAGTAAGCGTATCTTATTCCTTTTCTTTTAATAACAGATTAAGTATACTATGAATGTTTTGTTGGTTAATTCTAATAAGAAATTAACTAAATGTGTTTAATTTGTAGTTACTGTAATTTAGATTCATGGATGGATTAACAATAATATTGTTTAACCATAATTTTGGTTTTCATAGTTTATTAATCACACTTATTTTACTTACTTACGTCTGTTACTCTCAGTGGAGCATTGGCCGCCGATCAGCATCCTCCAACCCACTCTGTCCTGGGTATTAATCACGCTTGATATAGTGATATTTCAATTAATACAATAAATAATTCTTCTAAGCCAAGACAGATGGCGGGTAGTATTGGATTCCAGGATGTGTGTTTCGTTCTACTTTGGACTCATCATCTGGATGTACTTGCATCGAGTCCCGAAGTGAAAATGAACTCTGAGATGCAGATACATCCAGTTGACGAGTTTCAAATAGGACAAGATGAGTGTCCTGGATTCCACTGTTAGCCACTATCCATCCTTGCTTATAAAAATTGTGACTTAAGACAATATCGAGATAATTTTCATATGATGCACCTATGCGAACAAGAAACTCATCAATTTTAGTCCTAAACATCAATGGGAAGATTCAAACAAACAATACAAAATGAAGATAATTCTTCTATATGCACGAATTTCAAGAAACCGAAAAATTTTTGATTTTGTCTCTTAGTAATTTTTTAAAGTTGAAATCGTAAGTCAATTGATGCTAGACCACCATCGAAAACCTAGAAGCACTGGACGGCCGTTTTGTCCTATTGTGGGACTCCACAGTAGTACACATCCACGATCCTGCCTCGCGAGATTCGAACCCAGTAACCATCAGTCTCGCGCTCCATCGCTTAACCGCTAAACTACTGATCCGACGTCCAACGGTGTCAATGTCTAACTTCAACTGATCCACGAGGAGTCCCACAATCGGAAGAAACGACCGTCCAGTGCTTCCAGGTTTCCCATGGTGGTCTAGCTTCAATTGACTTATGATCTCAACCATATAAAATTACTGTAATCTCCACTAAACCCCCTTCTGATGGTAACTGACAATTAAATAATATATTATTCTGGTACAGTACTATTGTTATATTATCTTTGCAACTATTTCATTTTAGATGAATCTAACCAAAAATTACCGTGAAGAAATCGGTGTACTACGTGAACAAATTCTACAATTCAGTTCAACGAATACAAGTTAACGTTATCTAACCATAATGAGTACAAATGTAAATGTATCTATACTTGTAATTTCACTTTTATTTCGTTTGTATCTATCTATCTATCCATCCATCTATCTATCAGAATGCATCAGATTACATTATTTCTATCTATATATGTATATACTCGTTTATTAACATTACATTTCATAAGAAAGTCTTTCTCTCTATGCAGAATTCATCTGTTTCTTTTTTTAAAACAACCACTTCATGTTTTAAAGAAAAAGATTTGTATGTGAATGTAACATACTGTCCACATATATATGCATTATAGATAAATGTACAACATCAAATGATTCTTTTATTCATTTTCTTAAATTAATTTAACTTTAAAGATTTGATTAATCTTTTTTGAAGTAAGGGATGATTATTGGATTAAGATTAAAGTGTAAATTAGTCTAGTCAAACAATGGTCAGTTTAAAACCATTCGAAGTTTTGTAAGCAAAGATGGATAGTGGCTAGCAGTGGAATACAGTTTGATGCGCGTTTCGTCCTATTTGGGACTCGTCATCTGGATGTACCTGGATCTCAGAGTTGATGTTCACTATGGGACTCGAACCAAGTATCTTTCGCTTCAAACGCCATCGCGTTGTCTACTCAGCTACTGATTGTGAAATAAGGCTATATCGAGGCAATACGCACAGTATGCACATATGCCAATAAGAGACTGACCAGTTGCAGTCCTAAGCATCAATTGGAAGATTCAAACAAGTAATACTAAGTGAATCATTTGAAGTTTGTTTAAATTGTGTAACTAGTGAAAAGTATATAAAGATAAGGATAATGAGTTATTACTGTTATTGAGATATTGAAAAAGATTTACAGTTCGAATGAATGATTTTAATAGAGTTTTATTTTCTGAGATGGATGGTTTAATCGGTGGGACTATAATTTATGGACGACCTTTGAGCGAATCCAACGTGACCTTGGAAAGTATTAGACAATCAGGAAACAGTATAGAGTAAAAATATATTATACAAAACCAAAAAATTAAAGTGCATAAACTTCTCTTACATGGTTCAAAAACTTGTCAAGGTCAGAAAGGGGTTTAAAGGTTCTAAATTCGCAATGCATAAGATAGTAGAATTCATCCATATGGATCCATAATAGTCGGACTCTGAAGTCATGATAAGGTCACAAAAACTCTCTCAGCCTCGACCACATAACTTCATTATTGTTTGTGTGTACTCCGATTGTGTAAGTTTGTCATTTTCATTACGCATAAATCCCTACAATACTCATACCACTGAACAGCCGAAGCTTCAGTAACATCTTTGAATATTTCAGTCAATGTTACTGGTGCTTTTATTTTACAGTTCGCGGGAATTAACATAATTTGCCTTAGTCTCAATCTGGATAGAGCGAAAAAAGTTCCTATTCTAGGAGACTTCTTCCTCCAACATATATTGCATCGAAGGACAACATCACGGTAGTCTGCAGAAGGTCTACAAGTCATTTGATTGCTGCAAATACAAATAAAGCTACTTCTCAGTAGTCCCATTTATTGTAGCCGCTTAATCGTCACGTCTTCTCTAAAATTCTCTGTAAACCGAATGTACATGAGCATCAGGTACTGAAATTGGCGCCGTGATCTTGAGATCCCTCAAGCGCTTGTGATTGGTTCGTCCATACATTATCATTAGAATAATGTACAGTGTTTCCAGGTTTTAAATTGTTGTCTAACATCGATCGGTTAACAATCTCAATAGAATTAATAGTTTAAGGTCATGATAATCATAAGGATAAAACGTACTTCTTTTGCACGCAAAATTCTCGCTTCCATTGCATCATCGTGTTTTTTCATTGTTCATACATCCTCATGGAATTAATATTTATATATGATTGTACAGCTTGATAATTAATTCATTGAAAAGATATCCTTTCCCTGAACTTCGTGTTCAAAAAATAGTTAATCGAAAACAGTAATGTAAAATTATGAGTGAAGAAGACATAACTTACAGTTTGTTAATAATATATGTACAGTGATTATGCGGTTAGTAACAATAAATGGTATGAACCCATTTTAAAAGTACATAAATGATGATAATCATATGTTGGCTGTGGACTGACTTCAAGAGATATTTCCTTGAGTCCTAGTGGGAAGCAGTGAGCAGTGGAGTTCCACCAAGTCTGTTGTAGAGATATCAACTCACTGAAGACAATTGGTGAACGGTTGTTCATCTTCGTGGATTGGTTGAAGTTAAACATTAACACCGTTAGATGCCGGCTCAGTGGTCTATCGGTTAAGAGCTCTGGCGCGAGACTAGTAGGTCCTGAGTTCGAATCCCGTGAGTACGGGATCGTATATGCGCACTGATAAGGAGTCCCACAATAGGCCGAAAAGGCAGTCTAGTGCTTTCAGGTTTTCCCTGGTGGTCTAGTTTCAACTGACCCATGATTTCAACTATGAAAATACAAAATTCTCCACAAAACCCCTTCTGATTAATAAATATTCATTGCAAAACACTAATCTACATCATTATATTGCTTAGATAAATATTTTGTCGGAAATCGATCGTTAAATCCACATAGATTCACAACAGAAGTACAGTACAATATCATCATTGCCAGCAGCAGCATCATCACCATCGTCGTCATCAGCATCAGCATCACCATCAACAATGAAAGGACATAATTTTCGAATTCATCTGTACATTTATTATAAACAATATTTTAGTAGGTGTTATTTTCCCCATCAAATAAGTTTACAATTAAGATTTTAATCATTTGATGAACATTAGGAAAACTTGTTAAACATAAACCTATTTGCACTGATTTCCCTATTTAAAAAACTAGGCTCCTAGTATACCTTAAAATTAAATGTTTATGGTTATAGTTGTAACTAAACTAAATATTTTTTATCCATTTGTCAAAACCAACTCATATATGCTAGTGATAGGAACTATTTAAATAGAAGCGCTCAACTGGTAATACTCTTTTTCTTATTGAATCTAAACTTCGTATATTTGTTACAACACATATGATGTTGTAAGCAAAGATGGATAGTGACTAGCAATCCATCTTTGCTTATAATACTTGTGAATTAAGGCAATATCGAGGCAATATGCACAGTATGCACATATGCACATATGTAAGAGACTGACCAGTTGCAGTACTAAGTATCAATGGGAAGATTCAAACAAACAATACTAAGTGAATACATACCATGTTGATTCATTCCTTTAGAAAAATCACTATTACTGTAAGTGAATAATTAAACAAGATAATAAACTAGGTTTATGCCATTGGTTTCCTTGTTCAGTATTAGGATTTACTGAATGATCCATGTCTAATATATGTCTTCCTAAGGTGTATTTAAAAGAATTAGAGCATATGAAATGAAATTAATTCTCATCATTCCACGGTATCTGTTGCTTTTGGTTGATAAAAATCAAATAACTATTTAACAACTTAGTGGTAATACTCGTTCAGCATTTATTCGTTTAGTCAGTGGCAAAATAATTAAGAGATACATTATAAATGAAGATAGATGAAAATGAATGAAATCAATACAATAGAACAATCTTTACTGTGAGGAATAACAAGTATGCAACTTCTGAAAAAAAATTATTTTGTTAGGTTAGTTATTAAAATTCTTTCCATTTTATTACAAATGTATTTCACTTGAAATCGGCGCCGTCACCTTGAGATTCCTCAAACGCTTCTGATTGGTCCGTTCATACATGATAGTATTTTACCTAGTACTGTAAAGATTTGGTATTTTTATTTCCGTGTATGAGTTTCAATATACTTGTGTTTTATTCTATCGAAAGATATGTAAATTGAAAGAACTAAAGTAGAGTGGATTTTTACGCATTAATTGTTAAGTCAAACCTACTAGTTATTCGTAAGATTTCAAAAATCAAGTTACAACTATATTTTCAGTAAAGTCGAAAAATTCCTGTTTTGTCCTACTTATATCCTTCAATAATCAATTTTACGTAAAGTACATTTTTCCAAAAGTTTTTGGGAAAAAGATAGGGATTATTGATGTTCATTGTACAAATGTTATTAGGTTATGTCATTGTTAGAAAGAACTCCACTTATCACGTTGCCGGTAATGTTGAATGAATTCTGATGTCTTTTCTGCCACATATCTATCCCATTTCTAATTCATTTAACTGACAGTTATTTTAGGCTAAGGTATAAGAGGCTTTCAAGAACATCCGTGGATTAGTTTCCTATAGATTATTATATAAATTGAGAAAATAAGGCTACTTATGTGAGTTAGGTCAACATCATGCAAATTTACGCATTATATTAGATTTTTGATTTCATACTTTACTCCACGAACCGATCTTTGTTAGATAACCATCGGAAATCAGGAAGTACTAGATAGTTGATTTACCCAATTATGAGACTCTTCGGTAGTACCTGTCCTCAACTCCAATAAAAATTTGACTCAGGATCTACAGGTCTCTCAGCGATCTCTTAAACTTTCGACTATCCAACCAGCATCCAGTGGTTGACATGTCTGACATCATTCATCTCACAATACTACACAGCTATCTTTCAGCGACGTTGGTGGTTACTACCTAAAACATGATTTGGTTGAACTAAACTGGTCACAGTGTACCATTAGGACTGTGAGAATAGCCTGTCGAAATTAGTCATAAGTGAACACATGATTATTATAACCATATTCGACTGAGCGGTATCTCAAGTTAATTGACACATAAAGCAGTGGATATCAGCACAATCGTCTAAAGTTTAAGAACTAGCTGAGAAACCCGAAGGTCTTGGATCCAAACCCGAATGGAGTGGTGGAGAAACACTCCTGGAGAGTTTGGTACTATAATGAAACAGCTATTTAGAGCTTTCTGGTTCTCCATAGTTGTTTAAGTGAGATCAATTTATGTTGTTAATCATGAAATCTCTACAAAACTATAGTGATAATAAATTTAAAACGTAGAAACTTTAAAGGTTGTCATAACATTCAACAGCATTGAATATAATTATAAGGATAATTTTAAAACACTCGCAAGATTTCACTATCTCACCGTACATTTATAGCTTTTGGCCTCCGTTAGCTATCGATAAGTTAGATGATTATTAAGTAGCTCATCTGTACCATATATGTTAGTAGTTAAGTACATTTAAAGTTACTGGCGTTGTTCGTTTCATATTTTCTTACCAATTTTTGTTAAATTAAATTAAATTATAAACTTTCGAAAATTTCATTGACTTGGATTTCCAATTGTCGTTCAAATTTCTACACTATAGATGTCCTCTGTATCTACGATAACTACGACACCATCTTAAACAAATGCTAGATACAATAAGATTTTTTGATGTGAATATAAATCCAAATAAAAGATACATATGTGTTTATTCATAAATAAAGAATTGAAGTTATTTGTTCGTTTGAAATTGAAAATAAACATGAAAATCTTCCAAATTCATCGGTTCTGGACGTAATGAATTCGTATCTATTTTTAATTATCCCATTAAAGTTTC